CCATCAAAGGCTATAGAACCCAGTCTGTCTTGCCTGAGGATTCATACCTTTCCCAAGGGTATTAGCACGTAAGTGAATGTAATGGATTCGACTGGAATTCAAACTCGGCTCTCCGAATCCTCATGCCGCTATCCATTACCCCACCGTGCCTCTATATATATACAGCAGATTTCAAGAATGCATTCGTACAGGAGGACGCCATCTACTGGACGTAATTTTTTAAAAAATGAAACTTCAATCATTGTTTCTTAAATGGCATGTTTTAAGGTTTCGATTTCTATGAATAAAATATTTTTCTTCCATCACTCTTGGTTTTATTGGATTGTTAAAAAGTTCCCGATTTTTGGAGTCAACCTATATATATATATATATATATATATATATATATATATATATATATATATATATATATATATGTGTGTGTGTGTGTGTGTGTGTGTGTGTGTGAACATATGTATGTTTTAGTCATTGATTATACAGCAACTTGTTTTCAAAAATTATATATATGCTTGTGTATAGGATTTATAGCATGTATACCTTTTCCCTGTGCTCGGCCCCATCGCCCAAAATCTTGTCACTAACACACTAGTTGATGCTACACTCCCATCGCAATCTTACCTGTTTAAAGGAGAATAAAAGAGATACTTCCCCCCATCGTTAATTTTGACAGGAATCAATATAAAAAATAAAGATTTATAATCATAAAAGATTTTGCCTGCTCCAAGGCTTTCGTTTCGCTGTGTAATTTATATATCGGCTGATTTCTAAGACGTAATCGAAGGGTATCAATCGACCAACATTTTTGTCTATACGGAGGCTGCATTTTATGACTCTCTCTTCATTAATCTAATTTAATCTCATGGAATCTAATCGAATCTAATCCTTCTTGATTCAGTCTCAAATGTTGAGGTCGAATGCACGACTTCTATGTTTCTATTGTGATGAAAAATTATGAGTCTAGATTTGTGAACTGAAAGTTGGTTATGCTGGTACCAAGAAAACTTTGGGAAATGTTACTGTGTGCTAATATTTTTTCTTCATATAATTAGGCGAAAACAAACCCAACTTTTTCCGTTTAAGCTGGTGTTCTAATCTAACTTCAGAAATGGTGACCTTTTTTATTTGTTTTTTTTTTTTTGCGGGGGGAGGGTTCTATGTCTTATCAACCCTTTGCAAGTTATTTAAAGCCAGAAAATATATTTACCTTCTAAGGATTCTTTTGGAGAGAGATAACAATATTTCAGCTACCGAGTCATACTAATTAACCCATAGCTGGGGTTAAGAGTAGGATTCATATATTTTGCAAGGGTCTTTGCGCGCAAATGAATATGAAGAACCTAACGGGAATTTCAACACATCTCTCCGATTAACAATTCCACGTGCACATCAAGCTTACTGCACTAGGCATTACCAAACGGTTACCCATCAAGGTACTAACTAGATTCAACGTTGCTTAACTTCGGTGGTCATACGGGAACCTGTATCTCAACGTTCGTTAAATGCATTGCAGGTATTTAGTGCAAATTCACATTCCTGTAGTTGTTGTAAAAATATAATAAATGACGACGCAAGAATCCGTTTCGGAATATTTTATAAACTCTTTTGTTTAACTTCGTAATGAAGATAATTATTGTTCCCGGCCTGCTCCCGGTAATCTCTTTTGTTATAATGCATGTCAAGATCCCCAAACTCTCCAGTTTATTATTTCTTCCCCCCCCCCCACGATTTTTGACTTGACTGGATCAGCCTTTGATAATTCTCCACGCCGTAATTTATTTTGTTTCTTCCTGCCACCTAGAAAGCTAGCTGCTTGATTATGCAAGGCGACAGAATACAGTGGGTACTCTAATTTTTCTATCGGATGGACGGTTCCAACTCGTATATTTTAATTTTCGTTCGAATTTTTTTGTTGTATTTTATTTTTGTTATTGGTTCATCATTTTTATAAGAAAAAAAAAACGACAAAAAAGACAATTGTATATATTTTCATGTCATAGCAGTTTTTGAAGGATCGCTGTGAATATGCTGTATTATGGTATGTGTTGGATTCAATGGCGATAAATGGGTTCTTGTGCTGTACGCGTAAATTGTAATGAATAAATAGGTCGTGAATCAGGTTAGCTAGGTGTAGGATAGTCAGTGACGAACAGCCTTCCAGACTCAATGTTTTGGCATTCTGCTACAAGAGATGTAATATTTCAAATAAAATAGTTTCATTACTTCATATAGTTACAAATCGGTTACGAAGTCATATTTATTTACAATATACAATGACTGAAACTGAATGCGGGTTGTCAGCCAATATAGTCGGGGAAAATGATACAAGAATTACGACGAAACACATTTCAAAAGACGTCATATATCTTCTCCGGTGTTCAGTAAACATAAAACAATTAGAAGATATATATATATATATATATATATATATATATATATATATATATATATATATATAATTGTCAGAGATGAATCAGAGAAAAAAAATTGCTCGTACAGCTTTTAACTTTATATTTAATATATACATATATATATATATATATATATATATATATATATATATATATATATTAAATATAAAGTTAAAAACTGTAACTGCATTGAGCAATTTTTGTCTTATTCATCTCTGACCATTAACCTTATATTTTCCGATTTCTTTTTGAATTTCTAAGTCTGATGAACAGGATCGTGATTAAATTTCCAATGTAATGAATTATAACCATGGAATATTAGTGTTTGAGACTTTTTCATTCTATATATATATATATATATCTTGATGTTTCTGAAGCCATGATCGGTATTGAATAAGAGAGAGGAAATTATGACAGCGTGTTTGTATCCAAGTAATATGGAACCAGGATGACATTAACAAAAACAAATATATATATATATATATATATATATATATATATATATATATATATATAGAGAGAGAGAGAGATAGATAGATAGATAGATAGATAGATAGATAGATAGATAGATAAAGATGATGGATTGCTGGATTTGTATATACTTTGATGTAAAAAGTCAGTTCGAAAAACTATTTCCGTACAGTGTTCGGTGGAAGTTAAAAAAATAACGATTAGAATCTTTAAAACTGATTTTCTTTTTAGGCGCAACACATTCTTCTACAGTTCGTTTGGCCTTACGATAGAGCATGTTTAAGCTAATCATAGTAATTTATACTTGCTGTAGATATGATAAAGTAATACCATACCAAATTACGGTATGATCTAATAAATCTCCGGGGTCCTAGGTGGCGTTGTCCGGGAAAAGTGAGGGATTTATTGACGCAACCCATCTCTTAAAGTAACATCGATTATGTTGCAATTGCGATTTAAATATTCCATAATTTCATAATTTTCATTATATGACCGCTTTTTAAATAATTTCACCCCAAACAAGGCGATAATGCCACTAAGACGCAACATGTTAATGGCAGTGAAGTGAAGTTAGAAGTCAGGAGATATGACAATAAAAGAATAAGTTTCAGGAAGGCAGAAGATGAAGTTACATTTAAAATTGATTCTGGATGACAGGGAAGCAAAAAATATGAATGGAGTTCCACAAATTAGATGTGCGGGAAAAGAAAATATGAGAATATAACATAATGCAACAGCAAAAACGTTGAGACCTAGTTACCAATCTAGTAGCACGTTGAGACCTAGTTACCAATCTAGTAGCACGTTGAGACTTAGTTACCAATCTAGTAGCACGTTGAGACCTAGTTACCAATCTAGTAGCACGTTGAGACTTAGTTACCAATCTAGTAGCACGTTGAGACCTAGTTACCAATCTAGTAGAACGTTGAGTCTTAGTTACCAATCTAGTAGCACGTTGAGACCTAGTTACCAATCTAGAAGCACGTTGAGACCTAGTTACCAATCTAGTAGCACGTTGAGACTTAGTTACCAATCTAGTAGCACGTTGAGACCTAGTTACCAATCTAGTAGCACGTTGAGACTTAGTTACCAATCTAGTAGCACGTTGAGACCTAGTTACCAATCTAGTAGAACGTTGAGTCTTAGTTACCAATCTAGTAGCATGTTGAGACCTAGTTACCAATCTAGTAGTTGAGACACGTTGAGACCTAGTTACCAATCTAGTAGCATGTTGAGACCTAGTTACCAATCTAGTAGCATGCACAATCTAGTTGAGACCTAGTTACCAATCTAGTAGCATGTTGAGACCTAGTTACCAATCTAGTAGCACGTTGAGACCTAGTTACCAATCTAGTAGCACGTTGAGACTTAGTTACCAATCTAGTAGCACGTTGAGACCTAATTAACCAATCTAGTCGCACGTTGAGACCTAGTTACCAATCTAGTAGCACGTTGAGACTTAGTTACCAATCTAGTAGCACGTTGAGACCTAGTTACCAATCTAGTAGCACGTTGAGACTTAGTTACCAATCTAGTAGCACGTTGAGACCTAGTTACCAATCTAGTAGAACGTTGAGTCTTAGTTACCAATCTAGTAGCATGTTGAGACCTAGTTACCAATCTAGTAGCACGTTGAGACCTAGTTACCAATCTAGTAGCATGTTGAGACCTAGTTACCAATCTAGTAGCACGTTGAGACCTAGTTACCAATCTAGTAGCACGTTGAGATCTAGTTACCAATCTAGTAGCATGTTGAGACCTACTTACCAATCTAGTAGCACGCTTAAATTCATTCAACCGAGGTAACAATTAGTAAAGCTTATCAGAGGTCAACTCTGAGAATTGATTAGTGCCACGAACAAATAGTGCCATTTCCTTTTGCCTTCTCAGATGGCAAGTTGCTCTGGAAGTGTTTAAGAAAGAACTAAGATTTCCCTGCGAAATATTACTTTTGGGCGACATTCGTTTATGGAGACATTCTCAAATTCTTGACGCACTCAGTTTATATAATTCAGGATATTTTTATGTACGTATATAAAATAATCAAATTATGTAAATCATCAGTAGGAAGGTATATTTTTATTCAAGCTTCCAAAATAAATTCACAGGTGTGCTAATCACACCTGAGAAAGCCTCGATTTAATGCGTAATGTTTGCATATTTTTAGTTCAGTAATTTAAAAGCAATATCAACTGAAAACGAAAAAAAAAAGCTCTTTTGGTCGCTGAGTAACGAATCCTCACAAACAACCAAAATATATATATTAGACTGTCTTGAATGTAATTACGTATTTCACCGTTAGGAATTGTCACTGCAGAGTGCTTCCGAAAAAAAAAACTCTGTCTTGCATTTTTGCAATTGTTCCCGACTAATTCGATGTTGCTAAGTTAAGAAATACCCTCAGAAATTTCCTATCGAATTTTTTTCTCTTGAACTCGAATTTTTTTCCCCCAAATATTCTTGACACTAAGTGAAATACTGAAATAAGAAATTAACACAAATCAAATTGTATTTTTTTTTATATCTGTCTATATTTCTCAGATGAGGTATTGTAACTATTTACATTGTTCAGAGTGTCGTCCTCATCTTTATTGTCATATGCACGACTTTTCGGCCGTTGTACGCTCCAGCCTTCTTCAGGATATGTCTATATTTCTCAGATGACGTATTGTAACTATTTACATTGTTCAGAATGTCGTCCTCATCTTTACTGTCATATCCACGACGTTTCGGCCGTTGTACGCTCCGGCCTTCTTCAGGATATGTCTATATTTCTGAGATGGGTTTTGTAACTATTTACCCATTTACATTGTTCGGAGTGTTGTCCTCATCTTTATTGTCATAGCCACGACGTTTCAGCCATTATTCTCACCGGCCTTCTTCAGGATCTGTCTATATTTCTGAGATGAGATATTGTAACTACTTACACTATTTACATTGTTCGAACTGCTGTCCCCATATTTATTATCATATCCACGACGTTTCGGCTTGTGTACGCTCCGGCCTTCTTCAACTTATATGCTTTGGAATTCGAACAAAACCCTTTATTTCGACCACCGGGGTAGATTTTTCTAGTCCCACGTACCAGCCTTTTATGAATGAATATAATAACTATTGAGACATGAATAGAATATGGGAACAAATACAGAGTGGCAGAGTAAAAACAACAATAATTACAAAAAATTGTAATATGAACTCTGGTAAAAAACGAATACAGAAGCATTAGGTTTATAAGTCCTCAAAATTCATTTACTGATGTCCCCCAGGACTAAAAGGTAAAAGCGTTCGCTGAAGTAATCCACTAACTTGACTCAAAGAGTAGTGAGTTCAATACCTGGCCACAGCAGAAGTGAACAAAATATTAGAGAGTTAAAGAGAAATAACTGAAACTGAGACATTAAGAAAAGGCATGGCACTTGGAACTAGAACAATCTCCTCCAAATGACTGAATAAAGGTTTCGGTTCAATATTTCAACGTATATCACCTAAAGAATGCCGTAGCATACAACGGCCGATACGTCGTGAATATGACAACAAAGATCAGGACAACAGTCCGGATAATATAAATAGTGTAAACATGTTTCATAGTTTAACTTATACATTACACAAAACGTTTGAGTATACATATTAGTATAGATATTTCTGTCAAACTAAAATTTCAGTTAGTTATCGAGTGAACATTCTTTTCTGATTTGTGCCAATAACTTGCATCGCAAAAGTCTCTTTTCAGACACCATCAGTACTTGGCAAACATATTTGTGTTCCTCTTGCTTTGATAGCTGGTTTCCATTGTCTTCATGTCTTGGGGTAATCTTTCTCCTTCAGAGATGTAGTCCAGATGACTGTGAAGGAAATGCATTTTTACTCATGTTGCAGCCCAGTGCTCGAAAAACAGTTAACAGGGTTTGCACCATTTCTTCATAATTTGCGACTTCCTATTTTCTTGGAAATCAGACACAGCCACGCCAAAATCATTCCACGCTTCTTTTACAGCATCAGACAAAATGTGTTCATTCCGCAATATCCGTTTAATCTGTGTTCCGTCAAACACACCAGACTTGATTTTCTCACAAGACAAGACTAAACACTTTCTGCTGAAGTATTTGAAACAGTCACAATCTGAGACAAAGCCTTTAACAAACTGCTTCATCAAAGTAAGCTCAATATGCAATGTCGGGAAGTAAAACCTTCATGAGATTAATCAGTGGCCTGTTTAAAACATTCTTCTTTCCAATTTTGAACATCCCTCTGTCTGACCATATCGTTTGTATCCAATGTTCCCTCTGTGCGCGGCTGTCTCAAAGATACAAAAAGCAAGTGTACTTGTTAGAACCACCTTGTAGATCAAGAAGCAAGCCAATGAATTTCAATCCCCACATATAGTTCATCATGTTCACCATACTACATCTTTTCAAGGACTACTTATCTACAGTCGTATTTTTTCTTTAAGGTTACAGAGTGTACAATCAGTTTAGAAGCAAGCACGGGAAATGCTTACGACTCGCTTTTGAGCTGTTTATGAAAGGATCCATTCTTCTGGGCTGTATTCACTATTCATGGCAGCTGTGAAGCTTTTAATATTATGTCAATAAAGAAAATCATCATTCATCTTGACGATTTGAAGCAAATCATTCTTTTAATGCCTATGAAATGCGAACTTGTTTCCCTCTTCAAGGTTAATTCTTTTAAATGTGAACCAAATAAATGTACAGCTTTCTTTTATAAATCTCAATCACGGATCAAATCATTGAATTCAACCTGCGAGAAAACTTTGGGCAGAGCCTCCTGTTCTTCTTAGTTCTCGTCTTCCAGGTTACCATACCTTATCTCCTCTTCTTCGCCATCTCTGTCGTCAACAAAGGAAATGAAGGCTAGCAAATCATCCAAGTGTAGTACAGGTTGGATAGCGTGTAGCAGATGTGGAAAAAAAAACGTGACACGTTATCTTAGGAACTAAATCCCGATATATCAATCACGCAAAATTAGCAGTGATTTATTTGGCCATTTTTCCGCTGTCTTAGTGATTCAACACATATGTTACACAGTACATAGAGCACCCAGACTTTGTTTGATCAACCAGTTTCCTGTCAAAATAAATAAGGTAAGCTTTCTTCAGAAAATGTGATTTAGTCCGTTGATAAGATAAAGTATAACATCCACGAATATAGCAGAAGATATCAGGACTATTCATTTTTTTCATTTTCCTCTTTCACAATTGGCTATATTTCTGAAATGCAAAACATATATTAAAGCTAGTCGTCACCTGGAAAAAGCATTCTCATTCTCATTCTCTTGTCAACGGTTATTTTGTAGGCAAATGCAGGTTTGTGATGGCAAAGTTCTAAAGAGAACATACCACGAAGAGTTAAACCTAATAACGTTATTTTATTATAAGCTATAATATTTCTCTAACTCTTCAAATGTTGAATGAATAACTAATTCTAACTTTTACACCATATTAATTATATCTTCTAATTGTCCCCTAAGAATTTTCTTTCCTTCGATCACTTCCACTTCTTTATACATATATTTTTTAATTATAATTTTTTTACAAATCTAATCTTACTTAATTTTGATATAAATTGTTTAATTATTTATATTTAATTTATAAAATATATTTTACATTTAAGAATAATTTATCTTTAGAAGAGTGCTTTTAAGTAGGAACTTGTATTTTTTAAACTTAACCTTATATATAGTGATTATTCAAGCATAGCTTAGATGTGTCACAAGGCCGAAATTGGGGGGCACTCAGTGAGAATCGAACTCACTACTCAGCCGTGATTGTTCTAGCGAGACAAGCTTGCTAACCATGTGCCCCTTAACATTATATATATAATTTTATTTTAAAAAAAAAAACAACTTTTCGTTCGTTTTTAGTTTCAAAGTAACATTCTATTCTTCATATAACCCAAATTTAATGTCAGAAGGTTAATATCTGGGTTTAGTTTTATAAAACCCCTTCCCTTTAGGGCTAATAACTTCCACCATCCCCTGACCACTGGCTCGTGCCTTTGGTCTGATTAAAACATTGAAATGGATGAATTCTGTATCAATTTTACAGTTAAATTTCTACTTCTGACACTAACTCAGTCTGTATACCGGGGTTGAATAAGACTGAGGAAGTTTTCGTCGGTTGAAATAGAATTATTCCCCATATGAGGCAATTTTGGATTCTTTAGTTTAATACTATTTATTTGCTCTCTATAAGAAATACATTGAGCTATTTTTGTGGACAGTTTGAATATTTTATGTTACTAGAATTCATCAGTATCTGTCTATATTTCTGAGATGAGGTATTATGTACACTATTTACATTATTCGACAAAGCGACAAAGATGAGGACAATAGTCCGAATAATGTAAATAATGTACTAGGATCCACTTGGATTATATACCAACGGATTCATTACCTTTAGTATATATATATATATATATATATATATATATATATATATATATATATGATATATATATATATATGATGATAGTCGAACCTATCTGCGCCAATAATGAAATGTAATCATCTTATTAGTATTTGCCCCTTATGATTTTACATGATTTAAATATATATATGAAAGAATTCAAAATTTTATCGTAAACATTAATCTTATAACACTTTTGTGGTTATTTTAAAAGAAAATCTTACATCATCATAAAAAAAACAAACAGTTTTTATAAGAAAAATGAATATGATTGATACATTTATTTCATCGAGTAATCCGCCGAAGATTAGACATAAAACGACATCATGAAACTCAGAGGTTGAATAAATTAAGGGAATTAATTTAATATATATATATATATATATATATATATGTGTGTGTGTGTGTGTGTATGATACTAATTAACCCATAGCTGGAGGAGAAGAGATGGATTCATACCTTACCCATGGCTATTTGCGTATAAGAGGGCATAACGGATCTGACAGGAATTATAATTCGTCTCTCCAGTTTCGAATACCGAGCCGTTATCCTTTACACACATTCCAGTTTGCAGCACCTGGTGTTCCGAAATGGTTACCCATCTAGGTATTAACCAGGCCCAATCTGGCTTAACTTCGGTGGTCGTACGAGAGCCGGTGTTTGAACGTGATGTAACCGTAAGTCGAGTGGATGCTAGAAAAAAAAAAGAGTCAAAAATTACTTAGAGTAATAAAAAGACGGGAAGCTGTGGAGAGACATATCCGTTAACATTCAGAATAGTCACGGCATATAAAAAGAAAAGGAAGAATTCATGAAATACGACGTCCTGACCTCCTTGGTCAAAACAAGACAAACATTTAATATGGAGCTAAATATATTATCTAATGAATCGATCAGGCCGTTTTATAATATCTGGGTCAACGTCTCGCGTTCAGGCAGAGTTTAAATGACTTCTTATCAGCTTTAACTCGAGCTGACCATGCACGCTTGGCTAAAAGATCAGTGTTCCTACCTGGAGAACCGTGACAATCAGTCTACCAAGAGCTTCGTATTTCATTGTCCTGTAAGATAGAGGGGAAGAGTCAGAATTCTACAAAGCGTGCGCATTCGTGTAGATAGCCTTTTCATGTCATCCGGCTCCTTATCTGCCATTGACTGAATGGCGTCAAGGAGAGTATAGCTGATGGGTAGATCCGTTTTCTTTGAAGGCAGGTGATTTATTTGTGTAATCGTTTGATGACTCAAGTATCAATATCGACTGGACTATTCACAAGATCAGAAAGCCGAAACGACAGTCTGAAATGAAAATCCTCGGAAAATGATGCCAAAACGTTTCTGAAGAATCAACCAGGCAAACAAGGAAGAAGATTGATGATGTCCCCGTTTATTAGGATCAAGAAGAAGCTCTTAGCAATGAGCAGAACGGTGACTCAAAGAAGGTTAGTTGGTGTTAATTATTTATATTTAGCGGCATATCAACCTGTGTGGATTATTTAATGCCGAAATTTAAATATGGATAGTTAAACTTTATAATTCAAGAGAATTACATTATTTCATGATTAAATTTTAACTACTTAACTGTATTTCATTTTAAGTTAATTTATTATTAGCTATTATATTTTTCTGTGCAGGTGGCCGAGTTAGAACGTTCGCGTTCTGACCATGAAACCCGGGTTCGAATCTCACCATGGTCAATTTGTCAGGATCTTACTTGTTATCGTACTGGAGGGGTGAATCCCAGCGTGCGACACATTTATAAAGTTCCTTGAAACCATACCCAATACTTGTCAGTGAAATTGTTTATACAGAACCCTTGCTAGCACTAAGTCACTCGTCATCGTGGCCGAGAGAGTGCTGGTCATGTTCAAACTGTTGATCACGCTACATAACGCTTTTTAACACGATCTTTCTCAGAAATTGAAACTAAGGTCTTTCAGTATAAATCAAAAGTGTGCTCTGTGGGTGTTGAATAAACACAAAGGCGACTGAGCAAGCTTCTGCAATAGGGATTGGCTAGTCGCCCTAGTAGACGGGTATCCTCGAATACGAGACGCCAACTATGCTATATTTCTCTAACTTTTCAAATGTCAAATTAATTACAAATTCCAACTTTTACACCATATCAATTATATCTTCTAATTGTCCCCTAAGAACTTTCTTTTCTTTTATCACTTCCACTTCTTTATACATATATTTTTTTTTTATTTTTACAAATATAATCTTAATTTTAATATAGATTTTCTAAATATAAGTTATTTTTAATTTCTAAAATATATTTTACATTTAAGTATAATTTATCTTTGGAAGAGTGCTTTTAAGTAGGAACTTGTACTTTTTAAACTTAACCTTATCTATATAATTTTATTTAAAAAAAAAAACCTTTTCGTTCCACTCTGAATTTCAAATTAACACTCTATTTAATGTCATAAGGTTAATATCCGGGTTTAATTTTATAAAACCTCTTCCCTCTAAGACTAATAACTTCCGCCCTTCCCTGAACACTGGCTTGTGCCTTTCGTCTGACTGAAACATTGAAATGGATGAAGTCTGTATTAATTTGTCGAATGTGTCAAAATTAAATTTCTAATTCCGACACAAACACAGTCTGTATACCAGGGTTGAATAAGACTGACGAATTTTTCGTCGGTTGAAACCTAATAAGAGATTATTTCGGATTTTTGGTTTATTATTATTTATTTGCTTTGTATAAGAAATACATTGAGCTATTTTTGTCGAAATCTGAATAGGAATAGTCAAACTATAATGAAAAGAGAACGACATTATTTCATGATTAAATTAGAATTACTTAACTGCATTTGTTCTCTAAACAAATTATCTTACAAAATCAAGCGAGAATTGAAAATCGTTTCTCCTGAAAAGAAATAAGATTAAGCATTGTATTTTTTTTAATCTTTTTTACTTTCCTTATTTCTTTTTTTTTTTTTTTTTTTTCATTTCTTCAATTTTACTATAACTGATTTTATTTTCTATGAAAATATAGCTGATCATTTTATTATGAAATTCTTTGTTGGTAATTCTACTATAAAATGTATTGTTGGTTATTTTATAAAATGTATTGTCGGTACATTTACTATAAAATGCATTATTGGTTATTTTACTATAAAAATGTACTGCTAGTAATTTTTTTATAAAAATGTTTTGTTAGTAATTTTTTATGAGATATATAGCTGGTAACTTCACTACAAAAATGTATTTTCGGGACTTTTTTTATATACAAAAGTGTATTGCTGGTATTTTTTACTATAAAAATGTATTTTTCTACTCTTCTAGATTTTTTTAAATAAAATACTATAGCATATTTTACTAAATACTCTTATGAAATCAAACGAGAAGTAAAAACTTGTTTCTCCTTACAAGAAATAAGATTAATAATAGCAATATTTTAATACTTTTTTTCATTGTTGCCAGTTTTCAATGTCTTCAATTTTGCTATTGTTGGTAATTTTACTTTAAAATGTATTGTTATTAATTTTATTATAAAAACGTTATATTAGTTATTTAAAAAAAAACTATTCTTGGTATTTTTTACTCTAAAGTTACTGTAGAAGATTCCAAAATTAGTGAGCTATCAATACATGCCCTCCTTAATAAAAATACGCTTAAAAAAATCTGTAAAAGCTGAAATTATGATCAGTCGCATTACGACGAACGACTAATGCATTGAGCATTGTTTTGTAAAAGATTCTATTTTACTTTCATGTAAAATTAAATAAAACGGAATGATTTGCTTATATCATTACATTTAAGTGTAAAGCTAAGCGTCCCTACATCTTTAACGTTATCGACCCATTATATATATATATATATATTAGTGAATATTGAAATCAACACAGAGAGGTGATATGTGGCCTGATGATTGCGTCTACTATGAAAAATCTGTCGCCTCTGATTGTTGACTTTAATGTTCATTTTAGAATTTTATACGCTCTATCTCTGATATAGAGAATTTTATTCCATAAATATAGTACACCTTAGAACTTTATTCCATAAATATAGTACATCTAAAACTCTCTCTCTCTCTATATATATATATATATATATATATATATATATATATATATATATATATATATATATATATATATATATATATATATATATATATATATATATATATATATATATATATATATATATATATATATATATATATATATATATATATATATATAATCTTCGGCAAAATGAATACAAGCACTCTGGCTGAATGGTGTTTGTTTACATTCGTAAAAACAATAGGCTAGAATTAGCAGTTTCTCTCTGCAGAGTAGTGCTGATGGTTTAGAGGTAGATCGGGTTTCGATCCTGGCTCGAAGCTTTCGGATGTCTAGTAGCACTGAGGAACTGTAATACAGCGAAACAGTACTGTTTGCGAATGACGCACACACACACACACATATATATATATATATATATATATATATATATATATATATATATATATATATATTATATTAAAAATTACATGGTAAACCGACATGGAATATCAGGAAGAGAGAGATGAAATTTCTATAGTACATAATGAAAAATCTGTTACTCACAAGACAGCGAAAAACGTACTCACTGAGCTTGAGTCAATGGATGATAAAATAAAGTTTTATGGTATGCTATTTTTATAGAATAAAGTGCTCAATACCAGGGATGGAGTGAATGTGGCCACTGAAATCAACACCCAGAGACGACTGTCCGATTCCTGCTAAACGCAATAATTCCGATAGAGGATATAAGTGCAGTTTTCAATCGCAATAACAAGCAAATCTTCAGAACAAAATCAGTAGTTGGTTGCCATTTCTTTCTGCAGTAGACCAGTTGCCAACCAACGCTATAGAACCGGGTCTGTTCTGCTATTTACCCATACAGGGGTTAGGGAAGAAGAAGAAGAGGAATCACAAGAGTTTTAGCACGTAAGTGAATGTCATGGATTCAACTGGAATTCGAACTCGGCTCTCCTGTTCGTCAACCCGAGCCGCTATACATTACTCCACCGTGCCTCCTCGTTAACGTTATAGTGACTTTCCAAGCGTAGCTTAGATGTGGCACAAGGCCGAAAGTATGGGGCACCTCGTGAGGATCGAACTCACTACTCATTCGTAATTGTTCTAGCGAGACTAGCTTGCTAACTACTACACCGCCTCGGTGCGACCTCCTTGTTAACAATATATAAATTTAAATTCATCGTGGAATTAAAAAACTGGGTGGCCTGACAATTGTGTTTAGCATGAAACAGACTGTCGCCTCTGTTTGTTGACTTCAGTGTTCAATTATATCTACGCAAACACACAGATATATATATATATATATATATATATATATATATATATATATATATATATATATATATATATATATATATATATATGGGCCTAATCTGTCAATAAAACCTTTATTAGTCTTAAGAAGTTCCTTCAAGGGACAAAATGTGTTAGTTGGGAGTGTTTTCCAATTTGTCAATCGAATGTCAATATACATAGAGAGTCTTCAAAGATAAGAGAAAGAAAAAAGATCTTCGATAGAGACTCCAAACTAGAAAGAGAGCAAGCTTTCAAAGCAAAAGCAGAAAGACAGACTTCAAATTGGAAAGATGAAGAGAGTGTGTATTTAATGTAGAGAGTGAAAGCGACAGTGAGTATTTAAATGAAAGAGTGATAAAGATGTTGCTTTCAAATAAGAGAGAGATAAAGAGATAAACCCTTTAAAGAAGAGTGTGGATGAAAGAGGGAGTGTCTTCAGAAAGGCAGAAAATCTGAAATGGGGAGAGATAAAGAGAGAATGTCTTCAAAGAATATAAAGCCTTGAAAGGAAAGATATTATTCAAAATGAGAGAAGAGAAAACCTTCAATAGTCAGTGAGAGAAAGAGAGAAAGTTATTAAAGAAGAGAGAGTCTTCAAGAGTGAGTGAGAGAGAGAGAGATAAAGCTTTTAAAGCCGAAGGAAAAGCCTTCAAAAGAAATAGTTTTGAAGGAGAGATAGAAATAGAAAATCTTCAAAGGTAAGACAAACTTCAAAGGAGAGATAGACTTTAAGAGTAAGTAAACTTCACAGGGTAGAGAATCGTCAAAGCCAAATAAGGCTGCAAGATTTGAATGACATTTATTATAACATTTATGCAACTGAAATCACACTACAAAAAAGGAACGCTTTTGTTTACGCTGCAAAAACGTTCATGTATTTCACTTTTCAAAAATCAGCACTTTACCGTAAATCAGTTTGAATTTTTGCATAGAAATCAACAAAAAATTAGATTAAGAATACACTAGCACTTGAGTAATAACAGCGTTTTCGAGAAAATATAAACGAAAAGGTAAATTGTCTCTGTGTCGTGCCAGAAAGCTTTTCTCGTGTGAGTCCATATCTATAAATCTACCATCCTTCCTTGCATGGAATACTGCGGCCATATATGGTCTGGTGCTCTCGCTGTATGTCTCGGGGTCCTCGACAAAATCCAGAGACGAATATTCAATATGATAGGTCCTGGTCTGGCATCTTAGTCTGCAATCGCTATCCCACAGACCTGCGGTGGCCTGCATATGTCTCTTCTACAAATATTTTCACGGCAACTGTTCCGACGAGCTACTTTCGCTGGTGTCCGGACTAAATGAATTTAAACGTGCTACCCGGCTGGCATCTCGGTTCCACCCCTTCACTGCCAAAACGGTTAAATGTAACCGTCACTTCTTCTCAAACAGCTTCATCACCCGCATTTTCCGTCTGTGGAACTCTCTTCCCCTTAACTGCTTCCCCGATGACTATAATCTTCAAATATTCAAGGGTAATGTCAATCGACATCTGACAACTTTAGCTTGTTCCCCGTCCTTCTCTACATCCTTTCCTCAAACACCGCCTCTTTACTCTTGCTCTCAATCCTCTGTAAACCCCTTGCGTGCTAGTGCCACTTCCGCCTTGCTTGGGGTGAATTGACTTAAAACATAAACACCAAAAGGAGGAAGCTGAAACTTCTACTTTACATAATGAGGAAAGAATGTTTGGAGAAATAGAAGTTTACTGGACATATTGAAAGCAAGAGGGACAAAAAAAAAACGTACAAAACCTACCTAACGAGCTTGTCCAAAATAAATGGCAGAATAGGGTTTACGAGAGATTGCAAAAAGAGAAAATTTACTAAGAGCTAAAAAGCATAGCAAAGTATGGAGAGCCATGATAGCCAACGCCCTGAAGGGACACGTTATGCATAAGAGAGAATATTTTTTTCTATTTATTTAATTTCTTATTTATTAGTTATTTATTTAGCTAAATTTAGTTATATTTAGTTAGTTACATATTTAGTTATTGTTTTTTATTTGGGACATCTCGATGCGGTGTAATGGTTAGCAAGCTTGTCTTGCGAGAATAATTACGGCTGAGTGGTGAGTTCGATCCTCACTGGGTGCCCCATAATTTCGGCCTTGTGCCACAGCTAAGCTTGGAATATCGTTATTTATTTGTTAATTATTTATTTATTTAATTTGTAAGTAAAATTTCTTGCATTTCTTGAAGGCATAGCTACCAATCAATCCGAGGGCTCCAACTACAATTAAAATTCTTAATGTCGTCATGTGCCACACATGATTGTTATTATTATTATTGTGGGATAGAGCGGCACATCCACAAAATGAGACCGAGATACAAATATGCAATGCCCAATTTCGACAATATCTTGTGTCACGTCTGATAAAACTGTGTCAGAGCTATTCGCTAAATGTGAGAGATATGGTGAAAGGTTTTGATACAAGCAGCACGTAAATATGTAGGTGACAGCCAGTTAGAAATACCTTCATATCAAGAGCTTCACACTTTGTAATGTGATGCCTAATCCCAGAGATTCCAGCCCTACGACAAAACCATCCTCATTGGATAAAAAAAAGAAACGTTGGTGAATACCAATTCCAATGGAATTGTGGTTGCGGAGAATGGTCAGTATTTTTTTTTCTTTTTACCCTTGACCTGTGTGCATAGGTAATGTGCACGCCACGTTAAGCTGGCTTAAGCTGGCCTTTGATCAATTCTCGCTACCGAGTTACTTTTCGTCTGGTCTTTAACGACAGCTTCCGACTTGCTGAACGTTTCAGAATGCGGGAATTGTTACTCAACTAATCTGTTTGTCCATCTCTGGTGAGATGTTAGCTCTTGTGACCTTGTGCTAAACTCAGCTAAAATTAGTAAAAGCTTAAAGCTTAACCTGATACTATGTATCAGCTTGTTAAGACCCGGTTTCATTTGCATAGTTCCCAGGATATAATTGTTCCTACACTATCTGATATGCCCGTTTTATATTCCTTTTAAACCAACTTACAGTTTTCAAATTCATTGGTTTCTCACGGGCAATAACTGATTTCGAAATTACAGCACAGCAAGTAACCTCGCTACACTAGCTCTCTCCTAAGTATTAAATTGATTTTAATAATTCTCGATATTTATTTTACATGATTAATGAGCTAAACTCTCGACGTAATCTGTATATTCTAGGGCAGCGTTATTTTATGTAATTGTTACTGAAGAATAGTTCTTATTCTTCATAAATAGGGATTCAATTTTAATTTTCAGATGCCGTTTGCGCAGCCATGTTCATGTTCAGGTTTCAGCTATTTTTCTTCCAGTTTGTATTATGAAATCCCTTTACACGTTCTTATCTCATTTGATGTACCCAGCTTATTTTTATCATTACAGCCATAGCAAGGATTTAACAGCCACAAAAATGCAAGGGATTATTGAGAATTAAAGAAACAGAAAAGACAATAAAAGGACAATATTCAACAAAACAGAAGACATTGATTGACGATCCATTTACTTTGTGGAAGATCGTAATTGACAGGAAAGCAAGAAGCATTCATTTGTATGAAGAATGCTGTGACATTTTTCAGCAATGTTAGTTCTTTGTTCTCTCTTTCTCACTCCCTCTCTCTCTCTCTTTCTCTATCTATCTATCTATCTATCTATCTATCTATCTATCTATCTATCTGTGTGTGTGTATATTTTGAATAATGAGTAAAGGAAAGTGACCGTCCGTACACGGTATTTTTAAATAGGATCAGTCATCTTTTACTCCTCACCCATCGTGAAAATCTCCTCTGCAGCGAAACAAAAATGCATCTTTGTCGTGAGTAACTGATTTTTCCATATGTAAAAAACTTTTATAATATATATATATATATATATATATATATATATATATATATATATATATATATATATATATATGATTTAAATATAAGGATCATATTTCCCATTTTATGGTTAAAATAGATATTAAAGTATCTCGTTTAAGAAAAAAAAGTGTGGATTTTAGGCGCCTTCGGTCGAAATTTCTTCAGAAAAATTATCGTCGGCAGTATAAAACAAAGAACTTGATAAGAAAAAATATTATCAACAACAAATCTTAAAAACGATATATTACCAAGATGTAATATAAGTGGGTGGGGGAATTAAAAAAAAAAAAAAAAAAAAAAAAACCTTCTAAATAATAAATATTTTCTAGGTTAAGCAGTAATCACCCGGAATAGGACCAACCTGAATTTCATCTCCCTCTGTCTACATAGGGCAGGACGTTGCATATTAATAATAATAGACTCCAAGATATCTAAATGGAACCTCATCCTAGCCCTGCGTATGACAAAAAAGAGATCGGGAGAATAATTCGTCCAGCAATCGACAGAATTTAAAACGTGTTCACCAATAATTGAGTCTGCGAACACCCGGATGTAAATAGTTCATGTCTGCGCACTTTAGCCGCAACATGTTGGGCGATCCTCACCTCTAACTGTTGGATGGTACATATATATATATATATATATATATATATATATATATATATATATATATATTCAGGTATATTTGGTTAAATAATTTAGACGTATTATGTCTATTTATTTTAGTATTAATCATTTCAAATCCACGAATTAATTTCTTGGCTGTAAAAAATTGTACAAATTACAAAATTCTTTTTCAAATAATTTTTATTATCACAAGTACACTCAATCTCATCTTCGAACTTCTGAATATGTAACCCCTGAAGATGGCCTCAGATGAGATTGAATGTACTGTGAAATTATTTCGTAGACTTGAAAGGATTAAAGCTAAAATAAATTAGAGTCTGTCTATATTTCTGAGATGAGGTATTATGTACATTATTTATATTATTCGGACTATTTTCCTCATCTTTGTCGCCATATTTATCACAACGTTTCGGCCGTTGTACGCTCCGGACTTCTTCAGGTGGTTGATGAGCGAAATAAAGGGTTTGGTTCGACATTCCAACCACCTGAAGAAGGCCGGAGCGTACAACGGCCGAAACGTTGTGATAAATATGGCGACAAAGATGAGGACAATAGTCCGAATAATGTAAATAATGCTCTTCTATTGGTACTCTTGTTACTTTTGTTGCAAATTTTAGCCACTTACAATTAACTATTTCTTGTAGGTGTCATGTCTTTCGAAAAACAGGTAGCCGTAATCGAAAATGTTGACAACTCCTTTTTTTTTTTTCTTTTTTTTTTTTTTTGGTTTATAGTCATCATCAATGTTACGCTTTCTGCATTGTCAGCAAATTCTTATTTTTTGGTCCACTGAAAGAACGCTCCTTAATATCTAACATTAGAAGATATCGAGGCATTTCTTTCATTCATTTAGTTTCTGAGCTGAGTGAATCATATTGTCTTCGTCGTTCTGACGTGTTCTCTGCTGTCTTTTTGTTTTTATCTTATTCGGCTTTATTGAATCCGTTTCCCGTTATCCAAGATAACTACAATATTCTTTCTCGTTAAGCGCCTCGATAATTTCCTGCTTGGCGAGTTCCTCTCCTACTCTTCCTCGTACCCAATTGTAATTCATTGCCACTGCAAGTTCCTCGACTCTGAACTTACGACGCTCTAGTTTATAATTCACAAGGACTGTATTCAGTCCTTGTTTTTGTTCTTGGCAATTACTAATTTCTATACATGACTAAACACAATAGAAATCGTAGCGTAGTACTTGCTATTTTTTTTTATTTGTAGGAGGCACGGTGGAGAAATAGATAGAAGTTTGGATTAAGGAATCTGAGAGCCGAGTTCGAATTCCATTCGGATCTATTACACTCACTTATGTGCTAATACTCTTGAGAAAGGTATGAATCCTCTTCTTCTCCACTCTAACCTATGGGTAAATAGTAAGACTTGGTTCTATAGCCTCTAGCACCCGGTCTATGAGAAAGTAACCTCTGAATTCAAAACTACTATATGTAGCCCTGGCGTAGCATATGCTATACAGCAGAAGTAAGTATCGTTCGCATTGGCTCCATGATCCCGACTGTGGTCGAATAATGTCCCGTGTTCCTTCAAGAGGTGGTCTATCATCACTCTCTACAACGTCCTATGCGACGTAGATATTAGATCTTTTTGCTATCCCTCCCGCCATCCATTTGCCATTTGGACACTAATGACATCATCTGGACATACAAATAACAGCACTAATGACAAAAGAAGACCTGAAAATATTGACGTGTACGTTAAGCATACCACTTGTTGCTTTTCCCTGCCCCTCTTTCTATATGTACTGTCAATGTCAATATTTCTATATGTACTGTCAAAGTCAATATTTTCATGTCTTCATTTGTCATTAGTGTCAAAAAAAATCTAGCTTCTCTTTCTGTTTTCATATATAATTCTTTTTGTTTTCATTTTCTTTTAAGATTTCCCCCTTGCTTGCACAACCGTCCATGCTGCTCTCAGCATCCTTCTGTAGAAACGCATCTCTGTTGCCTGCAGTGTCCTCTTTATCTGTGAGGAATTTGTCGACTATTCACTGGGGGCTTGGTAATCCGTAGCAGTTCAGTATTCATTCGTTTGTGTGTAATAAAATTTTCATCTTACTTAATACTGTGTTTAGTTTTTAGTATCATTTTCCTACACTTTTCCACAGATTTTATGTTTTGATTTAGCCATTAGGCGTGGGTCATAACAAATGGCAATTAGTCCGGTCATTTTTTTCACCCCTCTAAAATATTCTAAAAATTCTGGCTCTCCCAAGCAGGTCTTTTTTTTCTTCTGAAAGTATATCATTACGAATCGCTGTCCCTTTTATAGGCAGACTTTTGGGGATTTTCTTTGTTATTGTTCCAAGGGCGCCCACGACAACAGGTAAAACATTCTTGAGGACGTTCATCTTGATACTTGTTGTCCTTTTACTATTACAGGTGCTTCTGCTGTTCTTTTTTCTCTTACTGGGTCCTTTTTCTTCTTCTTCTCATTATTATTATTATTATTATTATTATTATTATTTTTTTCTTTGATTTCTGGCGTTTTCACATTTCTTTCTGGGTCCCGCCCAGGGACCTAAGGTTAGAAATGGCGTCATGACACTTTCCACCGACAAAAAAAAAAATTACATAGATAAAGCCCTTCGTAAGGTGTGGGCTGTACTTGTCAGAACAATTTTCTGTATCTCCTTGAGGCATGGACTTCCAGGAATCCCTTCAATTAGTCTACTGGAATCTTTCCCAACCAGTCCTAGGGCTCCAACTACAACAGGGGATTGTTGATGTTCCCATATGCCACATTTTCGAGATTTCTATTTCAAGGTCCTTGTACTTTGACAACTTTTTGAATATCTTCAAAGATACATTGCAGTCAGCAGGGACTGCCATATCAATAAGGAGGCACCGTTTTTGTTTGTGGTCTTTAATAATAATATCTGGCCGGTTGGCCTTGATTGTTCTGTCAGTGTGTATTGTGTAATCCCATAGAATTGTAACAGGTCCTATCTCCGTAACCGGGTCTGGGTGGTGTTCATACCAGTTTCTTTCAGTTTTCTTCCCGTAGAAGTTGCAGATTTTCCAGTGCAGATATTGGCCCACTCTGTCATGTCGGGTTTTATATTCAGTGGGTGCCAACCCCGTACAACCTGATACAAGATGATCAATCGTTTCTGGATATTTATCACAGAATCTGCATTTTGGACTGACACAGTATTTTAGTATATGTGCTTGATAATTCCTAGTTAGCAAGCATTGGTCCTGCGCAGCAAGGATAAAACCTTCAGTTTCCGCTTTCAACCCTGCACTACGTAGCCACTGATGGGTACGGGTTTTGTCTACGTCAGCTTGTTTGGTACGGGCAGAGTATTGGCCATGAAGCGGTTTATCTTGCCATCGCTTCTGTAACTGGTCGGTTGCATTCGTCTTAGCTATCATTTTTAGTTATTATTATTATTATTATTATTATTATTATTATTATTATTATTATCTGACCGGGACCAGAGAGAAATATGAAAAGGACCATATCAGCTGGAGTCAGCCGTTCACTAACTGTGAATGTTTACATATAGTTTTGCTAAGAAACGAGATCGGTAAGAATTCCTGTCGAAGAATTAAAAAGCCGGCATGAAGCGAGAGAAGGCTATTGAGAATAATTGGGAAAAAGCACGCAATCACATGGTAATTAATGATAAACATCACCTTTCGCTGCTGTGAATAATAATAAAAATAATAATAATAATAATAGGAACACCACCCAGATCCGGTTACGGAGATAGGACCTGTTACAATTCTATGGCACTACACAATACACACTGACAGAACAATCAAAGCCAACCCCCCAGATATTGTTATTAAAGACCACAAACAAAAAAAAAAAGTGCCTCCTTATTGATATGGCAGTCCCTGCTGACTGAAATGTATCTTTGAAGATATTCAAAAAGCTGTCAAAATACAAGGACCTTGAAATAGAAATCTCGAAAATGTGGCACATGGGAACAGCAACAATTCCTGTTGTAGTTGGAGCCCTAGGACTGGTTGGAAAAGATTGCAGTAGACTAATTGAAGGGATTCCTGGAAGTCCATGCCTCAAAGAGATACAAAAAATTGTTCTGACAAGTACAGCCCAAACTTTACGAATGGATTTATCTATGTAATTTTTTTTTTTTTTTTGTCAGTGGAAAGTGTCATGATGCCATTTCTAACCTTAGGTCCCTGGGCGGGACCCGGAAAGAAATGTGTAAAAGCCAGAAATCAAAGAAAATAAAAATAATAATAATAATAATATTGTATGTTATGTTTCCTATTTTTTTACCCCATAGAACCGGATCCAAATTATGTTCCTTAGGCCCTCTAAGAGAATTTTCGTTTAATTCATAGAACTTTTCTTACTTTATGAAATGTTCCTAGTAGGGTGATCTTCTGGGCAACTTGTATGTCAATGTTACCTGGGACACTGTTAATAAAATTGTTCATTCCTTTTCTCACTAGTCCCAGTGCTCCGATTACTATTGGTACAGTCTCAATCATCATTCCCCTCATCCTGTTAATCTCGACCTCTATGTCTTTTTATTTGGAAAATGTCTCGATAATTTTCATGGAGATATTTATCTCAGATGGTAGTGTTCTGTCATTAAGCATACACTTCCTGAATTTCTTGTCTTTTATGATAATATCAGGTCTGTTGGCTTTTATTTCCCTGGCAGTTTCAATTGGCATGTCCCAGAGGATAGTTACATCATTATTTTGGGTAACTTGTTGTTGTTATTTTTATTATGATAATAATAATAAGAAGAAGAAGAAGAAGAAAAAAAAAATAAGAAGAAGAAGAAAAAAAATAAGAAGAAGAAGAAAAAGAAGAAGAAGAAGAGGAATAATAATAATAATAATAATAATAATAATAATAATTCGCTTTCTTTTTATCCCAATCAGGTATTGGTTCATTAAGCGAGACCTCTGGCAAGGCAAAATGGTGAATATACGCTTTCACTTTACATAAATTTTGATGTTAAGTGTTACTTAAAATGCAGTGCTTATATTTCTTTTACATTTTACCTGCCCCGTAGTGTAATTTTAAAATTTCCTGTAAAAAGGCGCTACAAGGGATTTTGTTACTGTTCTTATACAGTTTAACCGAACGCAAGGTGATAATTATTAAAGCTATACATTAGCTTTAAGGTACAACATTTTTTTTCCAGTCTCCCTATCAACCTATTTATATTTACCTATTTTGTCATTTTCCTTAACAGATATTTTTATCAATAAGAATAAATGCTTATGGCCATATCACGTGTCAACACCGGTTCCCGTAAGATCACCAGAATTAAGAAACGTCGAGCCTTGCCAGTACATTGGAAATAGCAGGTGCTTGGGTTTGCGGATGGTGTAATGGATAACGGCTAGGAATTGGTAAATGGCGGAGCCGAGTTCCAATTCCAGTCGTGTTCATTCTATTCACGTATGTGCAAATACTCCTGGGAAAAGTGTGAATCCACCTCAGTTAATACTCCTGGGAAAAGTGTGAATCCACCTCAGTTAATACTCCTGGGAAAAGTGTTAATCCGCTTCAGTCATGGGTTAATTGGTAGAACTTGAATCAGTAAATTACTATTACCCCCCAAAATCCTAACAACGTAAATTTTTTTCCGGGCTTTAAATAACCTGCTATGGGTTGATAAGTCGTAAAAAAACAAATCACTCAATCAGTTAATCATTCAATCGGTCAGTTTTTAGGATGATTTTTTGAGATCTGCCTGAAGCGTACCTGTTATTGACACAGAAAGTGAAGTCGAGTTAAAATTCCAACCAACTTAGTTGCACTCACTTTCACGCTGAGTCTCTCTGGAGAGGAATGAAACTACTTCTTCTCCCTACAACTATGGGTTAAGTAGATATCAAGAAGCAATCAGTGTATAAGAAATCCCGTTGAGAAGACAATAGGATACACCTCCA